ACTCCAACCAGCATAATCCCAATACAAACTTTAATGCTCATACAACTGAGAAGTTCAAGGGTGGATTCAGTCTCAGGCACAGCTGGAATTAGGGACTCACCATGTCATTAGGACTCTCTGTCTCTTCATATGGTTCTTATCTCTACTTGTCTTTTCCTGGCTTCATTTTTAGCAGACTTTCTCACGTGCTAGGGAAGAGAGCTGTCAGCAGCCTAATCCACATTTTTCTATTTGAGTCTCCAGATGAGAACTGAGCCCTGGCCAACACCTTAGACTGCAGCCTTGCAGAGGACTTGCTTGAATTCCTAACTCACAGAAATGGCAGGATTATAAATGTGTATTGTCTGAAGCTACTAAGTGGTGATCTGCTATGCAGCATAGAAAGCTAATACAGGACCCCTTTCTTCTTGCTCCAGTTGAAATATGCTGGGGAATGGTTCTGATTAGTTTGACCTAGGTCATATGCTTTCCCTTAGACTGATTGCTGTGGCCAAGCGTTGGTGTAGTACAATTGGCAGCCCCACTAGAATCACATGATAAGAGTGAGAGGGCAGTTTCCTCCCCAAACAATAGATGCACAGTGAAGATGTAAGTGACCTCTGTGACGGCATCCGTAGGAACTCCAACAATACTGTGACTTACATGTGCTTCTAGCAGAGGTCGTAAATTGCAACCCATAGCCAAAAATGGTTGAGGAACAAATTTTGTTTGGTCCTCATAATATTTATACTGTTGAAGAATTATGGGAAGCACTCAACTCTGCAAACACCAGAGATAAATGTGGAGCCTGCAGCAAAGGGAGCAGCTCTTTGCATTCCCTCCCCACCCCCTTTCTGCATTCCTGCCTGGCAGCAGTTGGCTGGAGCTGAGGAGGAAGAGGCAGTTAGCTCCTGCTTTCCCACCTGGTCCTTCCACCAGGACCTGGTCCTGGTCCTTTCCCACCTGGTCGTGTCCACAGGGGACACGTTCCCCGTCCAGCATCTGAAATGCTCTGATTCCTTAAATGCTCTGATTCCTTAAATGCAGTTTGGGTGATTATGTTCTAGACACGTTGTCTGTGATCATCTGTGATGTTTGATTAGGTCATATTTTGTGATAACCTTCATTAGATACTATACTCCCTTGAAGATTTTAAGGATCATCCTAAATTGAGAGAAATGGTCACCAGTAGTAATCAGGTAGAAATTAATTTGCATGTACGCAGAGCTCTGAAAGACTCCATTTGTCAGTGGTCTGGTTTAAACTCTTTGGTTATCTTCAAAACAAGGGCTGGAGTAGAGACTGGTTTTCTTTGCTTCTGAGAACCTTTGATGAGTGAGCCTTTGTGTTTGCCTCCAAGCCCAGGGCTTGGACCTTTTCCCAACAAATAGGATGGACCTGCTCTAGGGATGGGAAAATGGATGGAGCATGGGTCATCCCAACCTGTTAGAAAGGGGGAAAAAGGCTTTGAATGAGGGTACTTGGAGGATACTCTAGACAGCCCTGAAGTTTACATTCAGGGCTTTTCCTCCCTCCAAAATGAAAACATCTTTTTTTTTTTTTTGCGGTACGCGGGCCTCTCACTGTTGTGGCCTCTCCCGCCGTGGAGCACAGGCTCCGGATGAGCAGGCCCAGCGGCCATGGCTCACGGGCCCAGCCGCTCCGCGGCATGTGGGATCCTCGCGGACCAGGGCACGAACCCGTGTCCCCTGTATCGGCAGGCGGACTCTCAACCACTGCACCACCAGGGAAGCCCGAAACATCTTTTTAAAATATCTTCTGTTAATGCATGACCATTGTAAATATATGATGTACTCAAACTTCTTTATGTATTTTCCCTAGGTGTTTTAAAGTTGTGACTGGTGTGAATTATATACAACCCCCCTACTGTACTTTCTTACTAGTTGTAGTAGTTTTGCACTTGATTAAACTTTTTTCCTCAGTAAACAACATCTGTTTACTTACTGAATAGTTTTCTTCTTTTCTTTTTTTTTTTTTTAATAAATAAATATTTATTTATTTATTTATTTATTTTTTGCAGTACGCCGGCCTCTCACTGCTGTGGCCTCTCCCGCTGCGGAGCACAGGCTCCGGACGCGCAGGCTCAGCGGCCATGGCTCACGGGCCCAGCCGCTCCGCGGCATGTGGGGTCTTCCCGGACTGGGGCACGAACCCGTGTCCCCTGCATCGGCAGGCGGACTCTCAACCACTGCGCCACCAGGGAAGCCCAGTTTTCTTCTTTTCTATATTTTGTTCCTTATTTGTTTTTCTGATCTGGTTTAATTAGCTAGAATGATGCAGACATCGAGAGCAGAGGTCCTAATCCAGACATGCATCGTAGGCATGTCGTTGGTATTCTGCCGTCAAGTATGCTGTTTGCTGTTGTTCTTCACGAAGGATGGTTTCTTCTATTCAAGTCCACTACTTTAAAAAGTCAGAAATAGATGCTAGATTTTACCAAATGACTTCTCAACATTTGTGGATGGGATTACTTTTTCTTATTTAATCTGTTAACAAAATGGTTGCAGTAATTGATCTCCTAATGTTCCTAATGTTAGAAACCTTGAAATTCCTAAAAAAAAAAACCCACTGGGTAATGTGTATTATTTGTTTACTGTACAATGATTTAAATCTACTTAGGTTCAATAAATGAGTTTTTTCATTTGATGAACTTTCTTTGTTCTTTCATAATCCTCGGATTCTTTCAAAGAAAGAATTCTAATACTTGTCTACTGGTATTGACTCGTAAATTTTCAACAAGCATGTTAAGACTTTTGTTGCATTTCAGTATCAATGCAATGGATTGTATTTATAAGAATCCCTTCCCACCATATCCTTTGTAAGATGAAGCCTTCAGTGGCCTTTGCTTCTCTTTCTCCATTTCCCAGCTTGATGAAGTCATCTAGAATTGTAACTGGAGCTCCATCATCGCTTTCTTGTTACTGTTTACCTCGACATGATTGCTACTAATTCCTTCATAGATTTGTCTTTGCAAATTTGGTATAAGAATTGACTAAACTTCATTGGTCTTATGCATTTCATCATTCTCCACTGTCTCTTCTATGGCATATCCATCACATCCTTTCATTTATTTATTTTTAACTGTTTGTTGGGAGAATGTTCTAAATAAATTTTTTTTCAGGAAGGGATTGCAGGGGTATGTGCTTTCTGTGTTTACACATGACAGCAAGTGTCTTTTTAACCCTCGTATCTGTGCAATGATGAGGGGTATGTAGAACTCGGGACTCACAGCCCATTTCCCTCACAACTTAGTAAACCTTGTTCCACTGATGTCTACATTTAGGGCTGCAGAACAGCTGGCCAATGGCAGTCAGATTCTCATTCCTTCTTAGGAAATATGCTTTTCTTCTGTGTAAAAGTCTATAGAACTATTTTGGTATATATAGGCATCAAAAGTTATCCTTGAATAGTTATCCTAGGTAGGTGTGTCTTTTGCTACAATTCTTATCTGGTGATTGATGAACATTTTATGAACAAAATATCTAAAACTTCTATTCAGTGAAATGTGTTTTTTTCTCTTTAGTTATTATTTGTCTTTTGTCTGCTCTGTTTTCTCTTCATGTTTTCATGATGGATCCCCCTGGTCTATCTCCCATGCCTCTCATCTTTTCTCAAATAACTTAAATCTCTTTGTTTTTCTCTCTGAAGTCTAGGAGAGGAATTTAAGTTATTTTTCATTTTAAAGTTCATTTTAAAAAATTGTGCCATCTACTTTTAAATACTTTCTACTGAATTTTATTTGACCCAGTAAGTGGAATCTTTCCCCTAAGAAAAAGTTCTTATTTCCCAGTTATCTCTTCTCCTAGCTTCTTTTTTTATAGACTTCTCTTGTTTTATTGATTCACTACTCTCTTGAATTCTGCTGAGAAAACCACTGAGAACTTTCTTTAATGCTTTCACCATCTTCCTGCAATGACTCTTTTTCAGCAAAGGCTGATTGTTTCGATTGTTAGTTTCCTCTCTATTGGATTAAAAATTGATATCAACTGTCAGAGGTTTTCTATTCTACTCATTCTTTAACTAGATGTCTAGATTAATTACTCTAGGGAGCTGCCTTGGAATTCCTCACCAGTCATGTAGGTGATTCTTAGATGTCTCCTCCTCCCTCTGAGCATCACCTCCTCTCCCTCTGACTACCGTGTGGCTTTGGGGTTTCTTAGGTAGAAAAGCAAGCGATGGTCACCCCTTGGCTGCACACTCGGTCAAGCCAGGTCAGGTGGTTAATAGAATTCATTTGATTCTCCTCAGTACCTCTCAGTTTTGACATTACTCTGATGACCCTTGGAGGCCAAGGATATCTAGGGAAAGAACCCAGGGATGAATAACATTTTCAAAAAAGGGAAAAGAAAAAAGGCCTGAACCTTTGACCTTTGCATCAGTTTCGCCACACCTTGCTCTCCTCTCTGCTCCAAAGATATAAATGATTTTCTGGTGGGGGACTTGGTTAAGGACAAGAGAAAGAGGTTAATTTTGAAGACACAGGAAGAGAATGATTCAAGAAACAGTTTTAATAATTTAAATGACAATAAGGAGAAAGAGGCAATGAGGATAAGGATAAAAATATTACTGTTATTTAATAATGGAGTAGGAAGAGTTGACATAGGTGACATAAAAATAAGAACCCTTTAAAATATGTTCAAAGGGTGAGCCAAGGAGTAATTGAATTATGGCCCTACAGACTTGAGCTTTTCATGAGTTAAACAATAAATCTTGAAGGGTTACTTTTCCTTGTTATCAGTTTGTTTACTATGCATCACAGATATAGAGAACTGTAAGGCTTGATCAATAGAAATATACTTTTGTAGAATCGCCTATTGAATGAGGGGAAAATTCATATTAAATGCTTTCTGTTCACACAAAGCTCTTGGGTGTAATGAGATTCCGTGTAATTAGATTTACCTACGTAAACTTGCATGAAGTTAGCCCTTCATCTTATCCTCCGAGACACTCAGGTAAGAGAAACCAGGGAACAGGAACCATCAGGAGCCCTCCAGCATCACTGGGTGAAGCGTTTCCAAGTTACCAGGTTCCTCACAGTGGCCTTCGCCTCCTTATTCCTCAGGCTGTAGATGATGGGGTTGAGCAAGGGGGTCACCACTCCATAGAAGAGGGAGGTGAGCTTGTCTGCAAGGTCCTGTTTGTCTGCCTCCCAGGGCGTCCTTGGATTTAGGCTTCCCATACATGAAGAGGATGGTCCTATAGAAGATGACTACAGCTGTTTGGTGGGCAGAGCAGGTGCAGAAGGTCTTTTTCCTCCTCTCAGCTGAGGGGATCTTCAAAATGGTAGTGATGATGAACACGTAGGAGAAAAAGATGAACAGAACTGGGATGCCCAGGAAGATCACATTGGCCACCACCATACTGATTATATTGATGGTGATGTCAGCACAGGCCAACTTCAGGACAGCCAGGATCTCACAGGTGAAGTTGTTGATGACAGTGTCCCCACAGAAGGGTAGTTGCATTGCTAGGGATGTCTGCATCATGACAGTGGTGCTTCCAGCTGCCCAGGAGCTGGCAGCCATGGTGCATAGGCAGCCTTGCTCATGACCTCAGGGTACCTCAGGGGGTTGCAGATGGCCATATGGCGATCAAACGCCATCATGCCCAGAAGCACACACTCTGTGGTCCCCATAGCAAAGGAGAGGAACATCTGCACAGCACATGCTGAGAAGGGGATGGTTTTCCTGGGGGTCAGGAAGTTGTCAAGGATGAGGGGGACTGAGGAGGTTGTGTAGCAGATGTCCAGGAAGGAGAGGTTCCTCAGGAAGAAGTACATGGGCTTGTGTAGGCAGGAGTCCAGGATAGTCACCAGGATGAGGACCCCGTTGCCCAGCAGGGTCACCAGGTACATGGACAGGATGAGCACAAAGAACGTTTTCTCCAGCCTTTGATGGGCTGAGAGGCCCAGGAGAATGAACTCTGTCACAGAGGCTTTCTGGTTGGCACTTTCCATGGTCTGTCTCGTCTTTCAACTAAATAAAATACTCAGTGATCCAAACTCAACATCCTTTGTCTCATGTAGGTCCAGGGCATCTGGTCTGGAGTTCCAGTCTGGCTGAGTGATTGAAAAACCATTGTGAAAGTCCACAGTCTCTATTTGTTTCCAAGAAAAAGGAGAAATAAAATTAGAAATTACTTTGGGGTCATAGAATATCAAATTTACAATGTTTAAAGTGAAGATTCTGATTATTTAATGCGTTCAATCAGAGACAAGATACATAACATATTCATTTTAGTGGTTCTGTGTCCTATATGGCAGTTCATCTCATTAAACTTGGCCAGAAAAGTGACTTTAAGTTTGCTCTGTGTTCTCCCACTTTGTGCTAGGTACTAGGGAAATCATTAGTTGTGAATACTCTCTCTGTTTCTCCAGATCATTTTCACAGAAAACATACTCCTGTTGTTCCCAAGATCTCTTTTCTCATGAGCAGTGCTAGCTCCAGGGCTTTCCATTCATCTGTCTGTCCAGCCACCTGTCTTGTCCGTTTGTGCATCCATCCCTCCATCCCTCCATCCCTCCATCCCTCCATCCCTCCATCACTCCATCCCTCCATCAATCTATTTGTCTGTGTCTGAATATCCATCCATCCATCCATCAAAACACTTGTTGATCACCCAGTATATGGGTGTGAGAATTCCCATGAGGAACAGGGGTGACCCATGGCCCAGGCTTAAATGGGCACACAACCTGTCAGGGAGGGGAAGCAGAAGGATTCAGGAGAGGCCAGAACATCCAAAAGGACATGCATGTTGATAGAACAGGGGTCATGAAATGCTGCTTAAGTGATGTAGAATCTAGCTGGGCTTTTAAGGACAAAAGGACACTGGACATGGAGAGATACCTTGGGGAGGTCTCCAAGGTATTTTGTGATCTGGAAGTGCTGATATGTTCCTAATAGTTTGAATCTGATGTTTTATGAAGATAGACAGAGGACTGTCTCCAAAAATCCACAGTGGGTCACAGCTTCTGGAAATCTAGTTCTCTTAGATAACTAAAAGCAGTGCTTTTTTCTTTTTTTCGGTCTTGAATATATTTGACATAAAACATGTAAATTTAAGGTGTACAATGTGTTACTTTGATACATTTACATATTGTAATATGATTGCTGTTGTGATATTTATTACATAATTATGATACAATGTTGCTGTCTATATTCACTGAACTGTGCATTAGATCACTGGGTTATTTACTACTTGTCACAAGTTTGTACTCTTAAACAACATCTATTTTATGTTATGTTATTTTATATTTTTGTTATCATTCCCTCTTGGTGAATGTCCACACAGGAATCAGTGGACATTAATAGTCCTTGAACATTTTGGCTAAGCTTCTAGGTATGTTACACAGAATTATATCATGATCATGCTTCCCCAAATAATCTAGTCCAACTCTGTCTCCCATTGTAGATCTTTTTCTGCACCACAGTGATGCATGGCTTTTCAGTTTCAGCTTGATTTCCTCTAATGATGAAGAGCCCACTACATTCCCAAATGACCTACTCCATATTTGCAGAGCTCTAGAGTATTAGAAAATTCTTTTTCACGAGAGAGAGGCATGGACATATATACACTACCAAACGTAAGGTAGATAGCTAGTGGGAAGCAGCCGCATAGCACAGGGATATCAGCTCGGTGCTTTGTGACCGCCTGGAGGGGTGGGATAGGGAGGGTGGGAGGGAGGGAGACGCAAGAGGGAAGAGATATGGGAACATATGTATATGTATAACTGATTCACTTTGTTATAAAGCAGAAACTAACACACCATTGTAAAGCAATTATACCCTAATTAAAAAAAAAAAAAAAAAGCACAAGAGGGCTTCCCTAGTGGTGCAGTGGTTGAGAGTCCGCCTGCCGTTGCAGGGGACCATGGGTTCATGCCCCGGTCCAGGAAGATCCCACATGCCGCAGAGCGGCTGGGCCCGTGAGCCATGGCCGCTGAGCCTGCACGTCAGGAGCCTGTGCTCCGCAACGGGAGAGGCCACAATGGTGAGAGGCCCGGGTATTGCAAAAAAAAAAAAAAAAAACCACAAGAGTTCTCATATCACGTTCTTGCCAGCGTTTGGCGTTGTCAGTCTAAAGTTTTACCCACTCTGGTGATGTGTAGTTGTATCTCATTGTGGTTTTCATCTGCATCATTTTCCTGATAACAAGTAACCTTGAGCACTTTTTCATGTGATCATTGATCATTCCTGTATCTTTCTTTGTGAATTATCTGTTGAAACATTTTGTCCATTATTATAGTTTTCTGTTGTTTTTTTAAAAAATATTGAGTTGTAGGAAGTTCTTATATATTTTAGATACAAGTCCTTTGTCAGATATGTGTACTGTGAATATTCTACCAGTTTGTGCCTTGCATGTTCATTTTCTTAATAGTGTCTTCTGCTGAGCAGATGTTTTAAATTTTGATGAACTCTATCATTAAAACATTTTTTTTGGTTATTACTTTCCATATCCTCTCTAAGAAAATTTTGCCTACCCCCCAATCACAAAGATGTTTTTCTATGTTTTATAATAAAAGCTTTATAGTTTCTTTCAGCTTTTATGTTTAGGTCTATGGTCCATAGCAAATTAATTTTTGACTTTTTTTTGTCTAGTTCTATCAATTACTGAGAAAAGGATATGAAAATCTCCAATTCTGACCGTGGCTCTATTTCTCCCTTTAAATATGTCTGTTTTTCATTCATATTATTTTGAGGCTTGGTTACTAGGTGAATATACATTCATGATTTTATGTCTTCCTGATTATTTGACACCTTATCCTTATGAAATGTCCCTCTTTATTCTGGTAATATGCTTTGTCTTCAAATCTACTTTATCTGATACTAATATAACTCTCCAGCTGTTTGCTTGATATATTTTTCCATCCTTTTACCTTCAACCTGTATGTGTCTTTATTTTTTAAATGCTTCTTTTAGACAGAATACAGTTGAGACTTGCTTTTTTACCCAGTCTGACAGTCTCTGTATTTTAATTAGTAAGTTTGATCCATTTCTATTTAATGTAATCACTGAATAGTTGGGTTTAGTTTACTATTTTTTGTTGTTTTCTATTTATCACATCTACTTTTTGTTCATCTGTTCCTATTTTCCTCCAGTCTCTTAGGTTAATTGAATAATTCTTAGAACTAATTCCATTTTAATTTATGTATTGGCTTTTTAGCTGTAGCTCTTTGCCTTATTTTTCTAGTGGTTGCTCTAGGTATTACTATGTACATCTGAATATTTTAGCTGTCTCAAAATTCTTGCTCAAACAAGGATACAGATATCAATTAGGCAAATGAATGAATCAGCCCCAGTGCCAGACTAATTCTACCAGAATATCCTAGGTACTTGCTACTCAAAGTGTGATCTAACACCAGCAACATCACTTGAAATCTTGTTAGAACTGCAGAATCTCCAGTCCCATTCCAGATTTACTGAACTGTAATCTGCATTTTCACAAAATTCTCAGGCGATTTATATGCATGTTAAAGTTTGACAAGTAGTTTTCAATAATTAATTGAAATTCTAGAACTATACAGAGCAAATTTTAGACACATTAGAATCACAACTTTGCAGTGTCCATCACGTCTTGGAATTCACCACACCATGCTCTTCTTGGGTCAACTTGGGTAGTTTTGTTTGCTCCACAGTTGTGAGCACTACTTCTAAACCAACCACAATCCCACAGCTGCCTTTTGTTGTACTATTAGTTTGTACAAATTCTTGGCTTCCTGCATTATTCTGAAACCTGATACTCACACCTAGCCCCCTCAAAGTGGAAAATGCACAGTGCCTTTTCTCCATGCAATGCCACATTCTTGTGTGTGTGTGTGTGTGTGTGTGTGTGTGAAATGCTGTCATCTTTCTACCTCCACAGCTGTGTTCTTCTTGAAATGGAATAACTTCTGGGCTGAAATGGGGGCTCTCTTGAAAATCAGACAACCTGCTTCTGAAGCTCTGTGATATGGTCCTATTGTTAAAAACAGTGGTCATTGTTTGGGTTTCCTAGGTAATAGACTCTAAGGGATTCAGCATATGAATTTTGGTGGGACACAAAAATTCAGCCCATAATAGCCCTCCTGGTGTAAAAGCAGCCCTATCTCCTCCTCATGAGCAGGATCAGTTATATGCCACTAGGATAGTGACTCCTTTCCTTGCCTGCTGGTCTCTTGACATAAAAGTCCAACATGACTGGGAATAGCCATAGTTTAAAGTTAGCAGATATAACAGAATAGAAAGTCCAGTGCTCACTTCAGCAGCACATATACAAAAATTGGAACTATACAGAGAAGATTAGCATGGCCCCGTGCAAGGATGACACACAAATTCATGAAGCATTCCATGTTTTTTTTTTTTTTTGGATGGTATGATCCCATTTTTGTTAAAAAAAACAAAACAAAACCACCACACAGGTGGGAAAATGCATAATATATAAATGGGAAAAAGTCTTAAATGGTAAATGCCAAATTGGGTAAGAGTACTGGGAGTTTCTACATCTTTGTAGTGTTTGATTTGTTTGTTCATTTTACAATGAATACATATTACTTTTTTCACTTAAAGAAGCATTTATTCCATCCTTCCCTCAGACAGAGAGGGATCTTTCTTACTTGTTTTCTTTTTTTTAATTAATATATGTATATATAATTTATTTATTTTTGGCTACGTTGGGTCTTTGTTGCTGCGCACAGGCTTTCTCTGGTTGCAGCAAGCAGGGACTACTCTTCATTGCGGTGCATGGACTTCTCATTGGGGTAGCTTCTCTTGTTGCGGAGCATGGGCTCTAGGCGTGTGGGCTTCAGTACTTGTGGCACAAGGGCTCAGTAGTTGTGGCTCACAGGCTCTAGAGGGCAGGCTCAGTAGTTGTGGTGCACGGGCTTAGTTGCTCTGCGGCATGTGGGATCTTCCCGAGCCAGGGCTCGAACCCATGTCCCCTGCATTGGCAGGCGGATTCTTAACCACTGCGCCACCACAG